ACAAAGAGTGGGACACGACTAAGCAACTGAACTGAACCGAACTGAGAGAGGTCTGAGCTGGGGACGCAAAAATATATAACCCTAGGCATGGCCATGGCGCTGAACACTCCATTTACTAAGTTTGAAACTGTTTGCAACTGAAAGTGACCACACGATTGTCCATTCCCCAAGAGTGAGTACAAAAGTCGGAGCTCTGCCAACAGTTCCCAGTTAGGAGATGGTGAAAACCCCCTAAACGAGGTCTTAAACGATCAGCAAGAAACATAAAGAATGTGTGCTTCCAAACATAAACTGAAAATGGCTTCAAAACTTACATGTAAGACAGGATACCACAAAACTCCTAGAAAAGAGCACAGACAAAACATTCCCTGACATAAATCCTAGGAACATTTTCTTTAGGTCAGTCTCCCCAAGACAATAGAAATAAAATCTTAAAAAAAAAAAAAATTCTGGTTCACAAAATCTTCGAGGTCACAAAATCCTTCAAGTTTCCATTTCCATTAATTAGGTCAGCCTTTGATACCTGAATCATTTTCCTGCCTTTTCTCCTTCAATCCTGCTGAGCCAGAGTCCCATCTGCAGCTTTCGGTGACCCACTTAATTAGAATTCGGAAGCCTCAGACAGAAAAAGTGTCCTGTATTCGCTCTGTTTTGCTCAACAGACCTTACTGAAGAACTGAATTTCTAATTCAATCTGATAAACCATCTACTGTAAGCAATTTCAAAATCCAAATACCCAGGTGTTATTATAGTCACGAGTGCACATTCACATACAGTTTGGGGGAGAGAGCACTGGATCAGGTCAGGGCACCTTGGTTCTCCGCCCAACTCCTGGCTGTTAACCCCTGTGGGTCATCTTGACACATCCCTACCCTTCCCGAGCCTCAGTCTCCGTGCCTGTACAAAGAGGAGGTTACGCTCCTAAGTCCTTTCGGGCTTTAAGTCTCTGTGACTGTTTCCCGAGTGTCAAATGTGCACAAGGCATTGTGCTCGTACAGAGGGAAGGAGAGACACAAAGATATGGTGATGCTGGCCTGTCATCATAAAAAAAAAAAAGAACTTCACACTCTAACATGCAAGAAATGATATAGGACAGAAGCAAATATCATCGTTACCTTATTTATCTCCTTTATTCTCCATGATTGGTGCGGTGCCCGACATATTGTAGAGACTCAATGAAACAACATAAAAAAGATACAAAACGCCTATGGACATTTAGAAGAAGAGAAGCTACATCTAATAGAGAGGAATTATAAATACAGGTGTTATATTTGAGTTGGGTTTTTTAAATAATTTTTATTATTTGGGGGGCGCATTGCATAGCATCCAGGATTTTTGTTCCCCAACCAGGGATTGAACCCACACCCCCTGTAGTGGAAGCACAGAGTCTTAACCACCGGGCCACCAGGGAAGTCTCCTTGAGTTGGTTTCTAAAAGGCCATTCAATTTCACTGGCTCTGTAACACCGTCCTCTAATTTGACACAAAATCCTAAGCCAAAGTTCAAGAGGCTCCATGCTCTAGTTCCAATATATCCTTCAATCTTAATCTCTCTCTTACACGAAACTGGGCTATAGCCAACCGATCTCCCTGCTGTAACCTCAGCTATTACCCATAATTTTCTAACTCCATGCCCCCATTCATGCTGATTTTCATACTGAAATGTCCTCCATTCCCAATATAATCCAATTCCATTCTCCTTCAAGTCCCTGTTCAAACTCCCTCTATTTTATGAAGGAGATCTTATGAAGCCTTTCCTGATCCTTCCAATCATATGTGCTCTCTCCCATCTTTGAAATCCCACAAGACTTGTTGACATTTCTCTTACGGTATATACAAAGGTGGTTCACTGGTAAAGAATCTGCCTGCCAATGCAGGAAATAAGCGTTCAATCCCTGGGTGGGGAATAGCCCCTGGAGGAGGAAATGGCAACCCACTCCAGTATTCTTGCCTAGAGAATCCCATGAACAGAGGAGCCTGGTGGGCTACAGTCCATGGGGTCGCAAAGAGTCAAACACAACTGAGCATGCACACACGCTAGGCTTCCTGGCAACCAGATATTTGCATGCTCACCTCAACAGAAGGAAACAAAGAGCAAAGCAACCATTACTGAATTTCTTAACATGAATGTCTCAGATAGAATGCCAATTACTCAGTAATTTGGTAAAATACTATGTTTTGTGATGATGTTTATGATTTCAACAGAGTAACTCCCCCTTAATTGGTAAACTTTCAGATATTTTCCCCAATAATTCAAGATCATCAATTACTGACCTTTTAGAAAGTTTTGTCTGATTTACCTTACATTTCAACCCTGAACACGTGCCCCCGTAGTGGTCTTCCCTTCATCTACACTTTATCCTGTATTCCAGAATATTCTTTTTATGTAATCTGTCAGCAGAGTCAAGAATGCCAAAGTCTTAATTCCAGGTAGGCTGACCTCTTCAGATTCCCACACACGTACTCGCTTAACACTAATTTATATTTATATTTTACTTTATTTTAAATAATAAACTTATTTTTGTTAATTTTTCATCTTCTCAAGTGACACTTTAAAGGTTAGTGTAAAAAAAAAAAAAATCAGTGAAAAAATCATTACTGAATTTCCAAACTGGTGAAAAAGTGAAGGTTCTATATTTTTCTAGAGAAAGGAGAAGGGAACAAAAAAGCACACCACAAAGGATGGGAAAACAAAATAGCTCTGGATTCCTCAGTTGTATCACTAGAAGTCAGAAGACAGGGGGACAATGTCTTAAAAATTCAGAAAGAAAAGAATTTCCAAACTAGAATTCTGTCCTGAGCGAAAGCATCAGTAAAAGTAAAGGTAAAATAAGCACATGTTCGTACATACAAAGTTCCTAAAAAACTTACCTTCCATGAACCCTCCTCAGAACACACTGAAATAAAGACACAGACTGGGACTTCTGGGGGTCCAGGGGCTGTGATTGCGCTTTTCACTGCAGGGGAAGTAGGTTCGATCCCTGCTCTGGCAATTAAGATCCCACATACTGCACGCTGCGTGCGTGCATGCTAAGTCACTTCAGTCATGTCTGACTCTTTGTGAACCCACGACTGTAGCTCGGCAGGCTCCTCTGTCCATGGGATTCTCCAGCAAGAATGCTGGAGTGGGTTGCCATGTCCTCCTCCAGGGGATCTTCCCAATCCAGGTCTTCCGCATTGCAGGCAGAGTGTTTACCATCTGGGCCACGACGGAAGACCTCTCTCTTTATACATAGTACTGATAGTGTGTATGTGTCAAGCCCAATCTCCCAGTTTACCCCAACCTCTTTTCCCCCTGGTAACCATAAATTTGTTCTCTACTTCTGTGTCTCTATTTCCATTAGCAAGTTTTCTTTTAAAACAACTTAAAATGTCTAACAACAAGAAAATAGTTAAAAGAAGTGTGATAAATACAATGGAATTCTATGCAAGAGTAAAATGGGTAAACTAGAGCTATAAGGACATATTAATAAGTCTTCAAAAATCATGTAAGAGAAAAAGTAAATTATAGAAAGTTAACTATCATGCTATGTAGGTAATTTTTAAAACATACAAAATAATATTTTATGTTGTTTAAGCGCACACACACACACACGAATTTCAGAATTACAATCCCCTCTGGGGTAGGAGGGAAGGGAATGTGATGGGGTCAGGAAAAGGCTCATACAGGCTTTCAATTTTACTTGTTAATATTTTATTTCTTAAGCTATGTAGTAGGTTTTCTATATACATTACCTATATATGTTTGTGTCTAACTGAAATATGTCTAGGGGCTTCTGTTAAAATCTGGGAAATTAAACTCATACATTTAATGTTGCCTTATCTCAAAATACCGTTAGAGGATTATTTGTTGTTTAGTCACTAAGTTGTGTCTGACTCTTTGGTGACCACATGGACTGTCGCCCTCCAGGCTCCTCCGTCCATGGGATTTCCCAGGCAAGAATACTGAAGTGGGTTGCCCTTTCCTCCTCCAGGGGATCTTCCCAACCCAGGGATCTAACCAGCATCTCCTGCATCTCCTTCACTGGCAGGCGGGCTCTTCACCGCTGAGCCACCGTGGAAGCGCCCCTTGCTCTGGAGCCCTGACCAGCTGTAGGACCCACACACCACCCAATTCCTGCTGAGACCACTTTCCGCTTTAGTTAAGTTGTTGTTGGGGAGAACTGAGGATGACTCAGCCCTACACCCCAGTTTCAGTCCTGCCACTCCAAAGCCAGCACCACTGCACGCGCGCACACACGCGCACACACACAAACACACACTCATACCACTCTAAAGCAGCTGTCCTTTCAGACTTCCCAACTGAAGTGACTAATCTTGCCTATCTTCTGTCGAGCTTGCTAACCTGTATTCCCCCACACCCCCCGACCCTCAGCATCCAAGAGTTCCATATTTCTAACAGCTGCTGGCATCTCACCACCTCCACCCGGCTGGGTCTGGTGGCCCTTCAATCCCAGCAGGACATATAATCAGCCTGGGGGAGGGATGAATACCCACTTGCTCTTGAAAGCTGATGTGGAACTCTTTTTATTTCTGACTAATGAAAAGTCAGACTAAATTAGTCTGACTAATAAAAAAAAAATGAAATAAAAAATACTATGCTGAGCATGTGTCCAGTGACACATCTGTCACAGTAATCAAAATCTCCCGGCCATTATCACAGATGATATTCTGAATTGGTATCAGCGGGATAATCAACACCCAGTTCCTAAATACCAAATCCAGTGAGCATGGTACCCAACTATGAAAAGGTGAGAAGAAACAGTTCTTCTCCCCCATAATAAATACCAGGTGGCCTGACCAACCACCCCGCTGCTGGTGCAGCTCACATATTTATCATGCTGGCTCAGTGCTCAGGCCTTCTCCAGGGCAAGTGTAGGGGTTCGGGGATGCAAGGAGCTTTCAAGGGGAGCCCCCATGTCCTCCTTGAGAGAAAAGTAGTAACTCAGCTTTGAAGGGGGATGTCAGCAAACACGGAGAAAGGCCAGAAGCCCAACCTACCGTAGAAGAGAAAGGCTCTGGTCCTGTGATGATGGAGATAGGTCCGGTTGATGGTGAAGAAGCAAGCATCCGCCCCACACTGGCCGAGCCTTCCGGTTTCCCCGGTCAGTGGGGACCACCAGAGCATGATGGGGAAGCTGTCAGCTGCCAATGTCTTCTTCCTGTTCAGGGTCAGTCCTCCTCTGTTAAAGAATGGATGGAGGTGGAGAGGCTCTGCTTCCATTTCTGCACGCCCATCTTTCAAATGAGAATTTTTAAACTTCGTGCCTTCAAATTTTCCCAGCTCAACCACAACCTAAAAGAGATGACGACCTATTACCAGTGTCAGGCTGGTTATAATTTCCTTCTGCATATTTCGAATGCATCATGAGGATTTTGCTTCTTGCGTGCATGCGTGCCAAGTCACTTCAGTCATGTCTGACTCTGTGGGACCCCATGGACTATACTCTAAGAGGCTCCTCTGTCCATGGGATTCTCCAGGCTAAAAATACCAGAGTGGGTTGCCATTTCCTCCTTCGGGGGATCTTCCCAACCCAGGGATCAAACCTGATTTAGTGTCATATTAGCCTCCTACTGTTACTATAACAGATTATCACAAGTTGAGCAACTTAGAATAATACAACTTTACTATCACAATAATAAATTGGTTCTGGAGGTTAGAAGTCTGAAATGGTCTCGCTGGGCTAAAAGGTGTTGGCCACTTCACCGATGAGGACAGGAGACTGCAAGGGCTAGGACTTCACGCTGTACTTAATGGACTGGACTCCTGCCATGGCCCTGGAGGCAGATGTTCAGGACAAGGCAGGGTGGCGGGCACTCCACTCCCATTTGGAGGGACTTCTTACCCTTGTCTCTGTGCCCCAGCAGCTTCCTGCTCTGCCCCCTAAAGTCTTCCATTCAGCGTGTGGAGTCCCCTCAAAAAATAAAGAAAATTAAGGTGTCGGAAGGGCTACGCTCCTTTCAGGAAACAGACGGGAAATTCATTGCTTGGTTTTCTTTCAGTGGCACCCGCAGTTCTTGGCTCGTGGCCCCGTTCCTCCACCTTTGGAATCAGAAATGCTGCCTCTTGGGACTTCCCTGGCAGTACACTGGCACTGGTTGGGACTCTGTGCTTCCCCTGCAGGGAGTATGGGTTTGAGCTCTGGTCGGGGAATAAGGACGCCACATGCCTCACAGCATGGCCAAAATAAATAATACACTTTTTTAAATTTAAAAAAAAAAAAAAAAAGAAATGCTGCATCTCTCCGACCCTTCTTCTGTCATATCACTCTCTGACCACAGCCGGGAGAATCTTCTCTGTTAAGGACTCCTGTGGTTCCACCAGGCCTGCACACACGATTCAGGGTTGTCTCCTGATCTGCAGGCATGCCGCTGTCATCTTATGTACAAGGTCCCTTTTGACAAGTAAAATAACACATCACAGTTTCTGGGGCTGAGGGTAGAGACATAGCCTCCAAACTATCTACCAACAAGGACACGTCTCTCTATTAAACACTTAACAGATACATCTCTCCTCCATTTTGTAGGCATATACAGAATCCAGAAGTGGTTGTGTCTCTTAATGAAATCTGCAAGAGCCAGGGCTATTATCTGGCAAAGGCTGGAGATTACATTTTGGGGAAAGTGAATTATAAAAACCCTATTGGTTTCCTTTTAGTACAATTATAGGTGTCACAGGGCTTCCCTTGTGGCTGAGCTGGTAAAGAATCCGCCTGCAATGCAGGAGACCCTGGTTCAATTCCTGGGTTGGGAAGATCCTCTGGAGAAGGGAAGGGCTACCCACTCCAGAATTATGGCCTGGAGAATTCCGGCCTGGAGAATTCCATGGACTGTATAGTTCATGGGGTCCCAAAGAGTTGGATGCAACTGAGCGACTTTCACTTTCACTTTTCAAAGATGTCATAACATGGGTCTTATGTTTGTAAAAATATCCACCATGGCATGGAAATGGCCTAAGTACTGGGCTCCTTCTCACTTAAAACTCTGTCCATGGAATTTTCCAGGCAAGAATACTGGAGTGGGTCATCATTTCCTGCTCCAGAGAATCTTCCTGACCCACGGATGGAACCCACGTCACTTACATCTCCTGCATCGGCAGACAGATTCTTTACCACTAGTGCCACCTTGGAAATCCAATAATATCCACCATGGCATGGAAATGGCATAGTACTTGGCTCCTTCTCACTTAAAACCATGTTTTTTATGTATTTCAAGACAGTCTGGGGACTTCCCTGGTGGTCCAGTGGCTAAGACTCCATGCTCCCAAGGCAAGGGCCCAGGTTCCATCCCTGGTCAGGGAACTAGATCCCACAGACCACAACTAAAGCTCCCATATGCCAAAACAAAGATCGAAGATCTCATGTGCCACAACTACTAACAAGACCTGGTACAGCTTCCCTGATTGCTCAGGGGTAAAGAACCCGCCTGCCAATGCAGGAGACATAGGAGACGCAGGTTCGATCCCTGGGTCAGGAGATCCCCTGGAGAAGGAAATAGCAACCCACTCCAGTATTCTTGCCTGGGAAATCCCATGGACAGAGAAGCCTGGTGGGCTACAGTCCATGGGGTCGCAAAGAGTCGGACACTACTGAGCACATACATTCACGTTCACAGCCAAATAAGTAAATTTAAAAAAGAAACAGAAAGTCTGGGTTCTGGAGAACAAGGCCATCAATCAAAGTAATCTGGAGGGCAGGGTAGGCAGAGTAAAATCAGAGGCAAAATTACTGCCATTTCATCAAACTTTAAGGTTTGATATTCAGATGGCAAACAAATGTAATACATTACAAAAAAATGCAATGTATTTCTAACACATTACAAAGTATGGTAGAAAGAGCAGTATAAAAGTAGGGGCTGAAAAAAAAAAAAAAGTAGGGGCTGGTCTGCATCATATATAACAAAACATTAACAGTCAGACTGTGCAAAGAATAAAGCAGTTAAAAGAAGACATATTTGCATGTATTAACTGTTATGTATTAGTCACTGCATGTATTAACTGTATGTATTAACATGTATTAACTGTTTCACCTGTCAACAGAGGAGACTACCTATCGGCCCTCAGGCCCCACTCTCAGAAGCCAAGGGCGGTGTCTTCTTTATGCATTTGCTACCTTTGGTGTCAGAAAAGGGCCCCTACCCACTGATGTGATGGAAGGTCTGTAACTCCCTGGGGAGGGTCTGTAATGTTCACTGGATTCTCTGAGGGGTCCAAGGCCAAAAAAACTATTAAGAGCCACTTGGCAAAAAGCCACACAGTATTCCAAAAGGAGGAAAGAATTCTATTCGCCTTGAAGAAAGCATGGATCATTTGTGACACTAAAGTCATCATTAGAACAGTACAACTGTCACTGAAAACTAAAAGCCCTTGCCAACAGCGTCCTCAGCACTTTTATGATGACATAATAAGGTAGCCAGGCTTTCCTGCTGGCTCAGATGGTCAGGAATCTGCCTGCAGTGCGGGAGCTCTGGGTTCGCTCCCTGGGGTGGGGAAGGTCCCCTGGAGAAGGAAAGGGCAACCCACTCCAGCATTCTTGCCTGGAGAATCCCATGGACAGAGGAGCCTGGTGGGCTACAGTCCATGGGGTCATAAAGAGCCGGACATGACGAGTGACTCAGAACAGCACAGCAATGAGACGGCTACTCCCCAGAGCTCGATGGAATGGTGCTGACTTTAGCCACAAATGCTCTACATTTTCACCCAACCTTTCCCTGCAAATGTACAACCAGCAACTTTAAAGAATCACACTGAGAAAGTCATGGGTACAACTTCGAAGATAAATTTTGCTCCACATTTCTGATCACCATCTACTGTGCAAGGCATAAGGTCATATCCAAATAACAGGGGCTGCTTTAAGGAGAGACTGTCCTACCAAACAGCTTTTTAAAAAATGCTTAGCCTCAGACATCAGTAACAGGTGGTAGGAAATACGGGGCACAGAGGAACATAAAAAACAAAACCATGAGGAGAAAATCAGCCAAATCCAAAATCTGGGAAATTCAAAATGACAAATGACCTAGTTTCTTCCACAAACCCTTGACATGGAATAAAATGTGGGGCGGAAGATACTTTTATAGAAAAAAATCCACAAAACTTAAGATAAATTCAAAATGTGGATTTGTTTTATTCCAGATTCAAATCAACCCATTAAAAGTTTTTTTGAGATAACTGGGGAAAATTTAATATGGCCTGAGACATAGATGGCCCTGAGTAATATTAATTTTGCTGAGTATGACAACAGTCATATGGTTATACTAAATTTAAAGTTCCCATCTGTTAGAGCGGTGGTTCCCCAACCTTTCTGGCACCTGGGACCGATTTCATGGAAGACAATTTTTCCATGGACCGGAGGAAGGAAACCAGGGGGAGGATGGTTTAGGGATGATTCAAGCACATTATATTTCACGTGAACTTTATATCTATTATTATTTCATCAGCTCCACCCCAGATCATCAGGCATTAGATCTTGGACACTGGGGGCCCCTGTGTTAGAGAATCACATTAAAGAAAGTCCAAGTGAAATAGTATGTCTTAGATTTGCTGTAAAATGATTTCATCAGTTATTTGTGAAACTGAAAGGTATATAAAATTCAAAAAAAAAAAAGATACCATACACCCAAAGAATCTACAGATACTATGTACAAAATATAGTTAAATGTGAATCAAAAACAGTGTCTCAGATGACTTCCTCCAGAGAACCAGGATGCTTTAGTTTAACTGTAGGTCAATGAAACATTTTCAAGTTTAGATTATTAATCACGTTATAACACCTATTATGGGTTGAACTGTGCCCCCTCCTCCGCCCCCCTGGCCAAATTCACATGTTGAAGCCCTATCCCCTCCCATCTCAGAATGTGACTGAACTAGGAGACAGGGTCTTTAAAGAGGCAGTTAAGTTAAGAAGAGGTCATCAGAGTGGGCCCTAATCCAATATGACTGGTGTCCTTATAAAAACAGGAGACGGAGACGCATGGAAGTATAGGAAGAGGATGGTGTGGAGACAGAGGGAGAAGACAGCCATCCACAAGGCCAAGGAGGAAGCCTCAGAGCAACAACCCTGCTTGCTGACACCTTGACCTTGGACTTCTAGCCTCCACAACTACGAGAAAATAAATTCCTGTTGTGTAATCACCCAACCCAATCTTTGGTATTTTATATACGGTAGCCCTAGCAATCTAATACAGGATTCATGACATGATTTTGTTGTTGTTGTTTAGCCTTCCTACGTGGCAAATTATTTCATCTTGCCTAGCCTACAAGCCAGTGAAAACAGGAACGGTCCTAAACGTGGAGCTCTCTACCAAGGTCAGAGGTGTAAAGCCTTGTACCGAGGACACAGATGTGGAACCCTGCACCAAGGTCATCTCTGGAACTAACTAAGCACCATAGCAATCGTTGCCATGAGCCTCCCTGACCTTACATTAGGTAAAAATACCTACCCTCTAGCATCCTAACCAATCATCTCATGTTACCCTTCCAGCGGGAATGTTCTCTGTCTTGAGGCTACAAAAATTGGCTGTGCTGCGCTATGCTTAGTCGCTCAGTCATGTCCAATTCTTTGCAACCCCAAGGACTGTAGCTTGCCAGGCTCCTCTGCCCATGGAGATTCTCCAGGGAAGAATACCAAAGTGGGTTGCCATGCCCTCCTCCAGGAGAACCCAGGTCTCCCACATTGCAGAGACCACAAAAGGGGTCGGCTCTCCCTTGAACCTGCCCACTGTTCTAACAGCGTCTCCCACCCTAATAAACTCTGTTCTCCTCTCATTCTGCCTCATGTCTGGAAATTCTTTTCCAACCTGTGCACAGACTATGACACTAAATATACAGGCATTATATTTACTCATTTTATAGTGTTCAAATAAAAATAGTATAACAGCAATGCTGAACAATGAAGCACTCAATGTATCCATGAGGACTGGGTAACATCCCAAACCAGACCACCGATGGCAAACGGCAATCAAGATCCAGGCAAAGGTTCAGCTCCAATAATCACACTACCTTTCTATTCTAGAAACTTAGAGATAACAGGCCTACCAAAAGCATGATAATTTATTCTGACAGCAAAAGCAAAATTCTTAACTTGTATACTGGCATTCCTCAAGCCTGGAAAAGAGGTCCAATGTCTAGTAAGATCAAAGTTTTCTCATAATTTCCCACAGAATGAAGCAGAAAACTGCAGCCTTTCCAGCTCAAGCAGGTCCTGGATCCTTACCTCCAAGAGAGACACAATGAGAGCCAGGGGTCTGCTCTGACCAGAATCTCAACCTGGCAGCGGAAGGTGGTGGAAACAGCACAGGACTGCCTGCCAAAGTGTTGGTATAAGCATTCGTTCATTCCGTCCTAAGCAAGGAGAAGGGCAATCCTCCAGAATAAAACGCCCGGAGGACACCTTCGTCTCCATAGGGCCTGCATGTGAACTACTCACATCCGCAGGTAATCTTTAAAAGTCCTTTTGGATTTTGAAATGGACAGCAGGATCGCAAGTGGGGGCTAAAAAATCTGAACTCATATTTATACTTTGACCTTCACTGTGAAATTTTTGTTTTGCTTTGAAATCAGCAAATGAAGTTCAGAAGAACCAACTATATGAGATAAACAGGAGGACTAAAGAAGTGCTTCAGTTCACTCACCCTACCACTGACAAATTTACTAATGCCGCTGTCTGTGTTCTGCAGAACAAACTAGCTTGTCCTCGAAAACAGTCACTGCTTCTTCAAGAATGGGATCTTTCAGAAGGGGTCATGACTTGGGAGGAAGTCATCCAAGCTAAACCTTCATCTGGATCTTAGTTGCAGTTTGCCATCAGTAGTACGATTTGGGCTGTTACCCAGTCCTCATGGATCCACTGAGGGCTTCTTTGTTCAGAGTTGTCTTGAGCCAACAAGACAGACAGGGCTCTACTAGAACCAGGACTCCTCTACTAGAACCAGGACTCAGGGACTTCCCCGGTGGCCCAGTGGCTAAGATTTCACCTTCCTATGCAGAGGGTGTGGGTTCGATCCCTGGTCAAGAAGCTGAGATCCCACACACTTCAGTGGCCAAAAAGCCAAAACATAAAACAGAAACAATATTGCAACAAATTCAATAAAGACTTTAAAAACGGTCCACATCCAAAAAATCTTAAAACTAGGATCCCGCGAGAGTCACAAACTGATTTCCCAACTCACTGATCCTGTTTCTACCTACCACATCCACTCACTAAACCTCAATATCATATGTTTAAAAGAAGAAAGTATTTTCCTTTCCTTGGAGAGAACATCCTGACCTTGAGAGATGAAGCAAAAAGTAAAGTCCTTGTCGAGCAAGGGATGGGGGTGGGGGCAGGGGCAGAGGCCCAGGAATCAACACCACACGACCCAAGCTCTTGGTACCTGCAGTGTGACGAGCAGAAAGACGGCAGCCATGACGCACAGGCAAGATGCCAGAAGCTTCCCCCTCTGAATCCGCACCATCCTGCCCTGCCCTGGGTGACTGACAGAGGGCAAGCCTGGTTACCAGGTGTTCCCGAGTCGGCCTGCAGACCAAGATGACTTCACGTGGAGGAACCATCTGCGTGCCAATTTCCCCCACTGCCATTCCTGCTGGGACCCGGGCTCCATGAAGGACTGAGATGTGAGGTTCTGAGGGCGCCTGGCCTGGCATTGAAAGGGAGCAGCATGCAGTCTTCTTAAGCTATCATCAGAGCAGCTGGGGATTCTTTAAACCGGAAGGCATCCAAAAAATATCTGTAACAAATGAACAATAGTTTGGCCTTAGCACAGGAGATTTCATTAATGCAGACGTGCAGGGCTGCAGTGTAGAAACGAAAGGCTTTAAAACCAAAAGGAAACTTTGGGCTCATGTAGACCTAACACTTCACTCGTAGATAAGGACACCAAGACCAGAGAGGTGAAGGGTCTTGCTCAAGGTCATACAGTCCATTAGAGGAGAGTGAGAGATCGACAATCAGGTCCCGAGACTAAAATGATGCTTCCACTTAATTTTCTTTGCCATCAGACTTGAATTCCGAAAGTCACTGACATGTGATCATTTCTTTCCATCTATCTTTCAAAAGAACAGAGAAGTGGAGCAGAAATAGCCGGGACTGTCCATTCAGCCCTGTAAAAATTAGGGAAAGAACAAAAGTTTCAGGCTTTGCTCAGAAATGGCAAATGATTGACTGACCTCAGTTCCCGCCAGGGAAAACCACTTCGGCCACAACATAAGGAATTTAGATTACTGCTTTATTTGCTTAGTCTTCTGCAGCAAGTGCACTAAAGCAGTGGATTGTGTGGATTGTGGGTTCCCTGGATGTCTTGAAATAAGGTGTCCATCTATCTGAAATGGATGGTCTTTTGCAAAAACTTTTCAAATGAACTAAATAGTCCCACAGAATACCTCTTATTCCTGGGGTTCCCTGAAGTCAAACATGCTGAGCAAACCACACTGTGTAGTCCAGAGGAGAGCAAGGATCACCATTTCGGAGGAATGGGGTGCTCCAAGGGCCTGGTCCTAAGATCTGACTGTACACCTCTCAGATATGGAACTGAAGATCCAATGAGAAATACAAAAGTGATGCAGAATTCTGCTTTAAAACCTTGATTTTAAAGGTGTGCTCCCTTCTCTTGCATCCTACCTTGATCAACTCTTAAGTCCAGGCTATTTCTTCCCCTCAGCAACAAAATGACTCTTGGTCTCAGAGATAGCCAAAAGCTCATTTTTTTTTTCATCCACGGAAGTCTTACAATCCACAGGGTATAAGAAAACGGGCTCTAGTCAGCCTGCCAGGATTCAAATCTCAACTCCTCAGGCTGTCCATGATTCCACGATTCAATTCCCAAAATATAGGTTACAGAGATGCCCAATCAGAGAGTTACTGTGAGAATTCTATGAGATAAAATAGGTAAAACACTTATTTCAGAGCCTGACACAAAAGAAGCACCTGATAAACGTTTGCTCTTATTCTCACTCTGGGCTTCCCTGGTGTCTCAGCTGGTAAACCATCTGCCTGCAACGCAGGAGACACAGGTGCCATCCCTGGGTCGGGAAGATCCCATCCCTGGGTCGGAGAAGGAAATGGCAACCCACAACAGTATTATTGCCTGGAGAATTCCATGGGACAGAGGAGCCACGGAATACAGGGCTACAGTCCACTGGGGCATGAAAGATTCAGAGAAAAATAAGCAACTAACACTTTCCCCTTTTCACAAGTTACGCCAGAAGAATTTAAGGTTACAAAAATCCCTTCCATCCAAAGAATCTCAGTAGCGGTCATAGTCCCCAAACCAGGAGTGTACAGCACGGTCTCGAGGACTGAACTGTGGGTAAATACTCAGCACTAAAGAACAGAATGAGCTGGGGTGGATGGTCTGATGATTTAGAGCAGGCAGCAGCCAACCAGGCCTTGGGGCACATCAATCTAACATACATACGGCACGACTTACCCGGGAGTTTGTCATCAAATCAGCGGTTCCCCGACGGCGGGGACAGATGGACCTGCAGAGAGCACCCTGAAGGCCGACAAGCTCCAAGACAAAGGGGCCCCAAGAAGAAAGCTCCCTTCTGTTTCCTCACTGCCCTCAGGGTGAATCTCAGACCCTCACTTCTAAGAGACCACCCCAGAACACCCCTTCCCAGGCTGCATCAGTGTGTTTGCTCAACCAGGTCGATCACAGCCAAAGTGGACTCACTAACCGACCCCCTTGACCCAAGCGCTGAGCCCTGAGACGCATCACTGGGCCACGCACACGGCCCATCTGCTGCCCGGAGAGGGGTCTGGAGCCGAGAGTCACCACCGCATAATCCTGCAAGGGCTATCCAGTCAAAAGCAGCAACGCTTTCAGTCCAAAATAATTTCCATGGTCTCTGCTTTATGGTGAATTAAAATGGAGAGGAGGGAGGCCAGACGTCTTAGTGAATTAGCAGCCTGAGGATGCCAGCTTCCCACACGGCCCCAGCCATGCAGGGCCAGTCCCCGGTGTGGGTCAAGGGCCTCAGCCATGGGACCCAGGTGATTTCCACCCTGTGGTCCCCAGTGGAAAATGAGGAGCCAACCCTGGGTGACAGAGATCCCAGATCCTCTCTCCTCTATAACTGGTGAGTCATTTCGGTTCATGGCAGAGTGAAGTCGCTCAGCCGCTCTTTGCGACCCCATGGACTGTAGCCCACCAGGCTCCTCTGTCCATGGGATTTTCCAGGCAAGAATGCTGGAGTGGGTTGCCATCTCCTTCTCCAGGGGATCTTCCCGACCCAGGGATCAAACCCAGGTCTCCCACATTGTATGCAGATGCTTTACCGTCTGAGCCACCGGGGAAGTCATTGGGTTAATAATTGACTCTTAACTGAGTTTGAGGTTATGCCAGGGAGAGTCTTTTGAAGGAATATGTCTAATTACCAGACACATTATTCACACCAGGGTGTCATTTCTCAAACGAAAACATTCCAAGATGTTTTCACTTCATAATGTATAAAATTCTCGGAGCATCCCTTAAGTAGGGGCTGCTGTCCTGGGAAAAACAGATGACATGGCAGGCAGATAGGAAAGTCTAAGGGCCTCTGGACAAATCTCCAAGCAATTTTTAACTAACTGCCTTCGACTCTACTTGACCTCACCAACACTCCGCATCTATTCCTACTTGGTAACTCCAAAAGCCTGATAGGAACTCCCCCAGCAGTCCAGTGTTAAGACTGTGTTTCTAGGTCAGGTTCGAGCCCTGGTTGGGGAACTAGGATCCCACATGCTTCTCAGTGTGGTAAAAAAAAAAAAAAAATTAAAAGTCTGATACCTAGGATTTCTGACCTGCTAGCATCCCCCACTCAGCTCAGAGATGTTGTTAGAATGTAGCCTGGGTATCTCCCCTCCGATTAGAATCCATCAATGGCTTCCCAAAGAGTTCAAGATAAAGATCAAATTCATCAGCTTAGAAAACAAGAGTCTCTGGACTCTGCCCTACTTTTCCACTTTCTACCGGACAAACCCTTTGTTCTAGCTGTTCCTGGAACATAGTTTCCTGTTCTGCACTCTGGTCCCTACCTACAACACCCAAACCTCTTTCACTACCAGAGCCATTCTGGGCATTCAAGGCTACCTGGTTTGAGAAGCCTTACTCCACCCTAGCGCCAGGTCAGAAGATGTATGGCCATGCATTATGCTTATTTCTACATCAGTGGACAAAATGCTGGGGGAGGTTACAAAACTCTTTAAAGCTGTTTTATTGGGTGAATATAAAACAACCGGTGAACATTAAAGTTGACCAAACAAACAAAAAAGCTGACCAGTGTTGTTAATTTGCAGAAGGACTGTCCCCTTGGGCACCTGATGAGCATGGTGTGGTGGATCCAGAGTTTCCCTTTTCATCCCATTTTCTTTATTAACACTTATTTGTGTTAATATGTTCCTCACTCTTTTTTTTAATGGACTGCATACTTTGTTGAGCTTTTCTTTCTTTCTTTTTTTTGGAGTGGTGCTCTGCCTTACAGATTTCTATCTGGGAAGGTCATCCTCTTGGAAGCACACATTGCAGGAGAGAGAGACAGAGAATCACAAGAGAGAAGGGATACTGGCAGCTGCTGGAATCAAGACTGGTGATTAGGGGCTTCCCTGGTGGTCCAGTGGCTGTGGTTCCATGCCCTCAATGCAGGGGTGCCAGGTTCAGTTCCTAGTTGGGGAACTAGATCTTGCACGTGGCAACTAAAGAACTCCCATGGTCCCGCATGCTGCAACTAAGAGCCAGAGCAACCGAATAAATAAAGAAATACCTTTTTTAAAAATTAAATTAAAAGACTGTATTAATAAAAAAAGAAAGGTTAATGGGAGGATAAAAGTGGTAGCATGAGCACCTTCATTCTTCTACTCCTGAAAGTGATGCCATTCTTAAATTCTTAAATTCCAGACACAAACTGAAGCACTTGATGTATATAGTATTAACACAATCTCACTCAGTGGGTCTGCTTAAACATAGAAACTAGATAAAAACAAACCCACTAAAGAACTAAATAAAAAGACTGACATGAAGATCCAAATAGAAGCGTTCAAAAACAATAGGTTTTTTAAATGCAAGAGGGGGGTCCACTATTGGGAAGATTCTGTATCACACTAAGAGCTGAGCTTCTTTTTCCTTGGAAGGTGTTCTTTTAACTGTTCTTTCTCCAGGAAGGGCTTACTGGTTATTCTGTAACAATTTTCCTTCCTGGCAAAGATGGGAACTAAAATCCCTCAGCTGCTTTGATCATTCCTGTAATCATGAGTGAGGAAACAATCAAATAACATGATAAAATCTGACTAATACTTCACGGCCTAAAAACAAAGAGCTGGAACAAATGATCTTCTGGGGATCTTCATCCCAAAATTAAGTTCTCTGATCTCTTGAACAGTGCCCAGGAACTCTCCATAGAAGAAAAGTCAAGCAAGTAAAGAGACAGTAATTGGGACAAGCTGAGTCATCACAAACTAAAGATTTCTGGAAATATAAAA